TTTATTAGCCATTCATCTTTCTTCCTCAGAGAAAGTTCTGTTCATGTGTCTTGCCCACTGATAGACGGGATTGTTCACTCTTCCTCTGTTGATTAATTTGAGTTCTGTGTAGATTCTAGTAATCAAGACTGCCAGATTCGTAACATGCAAATATCTTTTCCCATTCTGAGGTTGTCTATTTGTTTTCACTGTTGTGTCCTTAGCTGTGAAGAAGCTTTTCAGTTTAGTTAAATCCCATTTGTTTATTTTGTGTTGTTACAATGAAGTCTTCATCAAAAGATCTTTCCCCAGGCTAACATCCTTAAGAGTTTTTCCCACACTTTCTTATACAATTTTTATCACCTCATGTTTTAGATTTAAATCTTTTACCCATCTCGAGTCAATTTTTGTAAGTGGTAATAGGTGTGGGTCCAGTTTCAGGCTTTTACATGTGGTTATCCAGTTCTCCCAGCACCATTTATTGAATACTCTTTTCCCCACTGGAAGCTTTTGTTTGGTTTATCAAAGATCAGATGGCTATAAGAGATTGGATTCATCTCTTGCCTTTCTTTTCTGTTCCATATGTCTGTCTCTATTTTTGTGCCAATACTATGCTGTTTTGATCACTGTGGAATTGTAATATAACCTAAAGTTGGTGGAGTGATGTGCCTCAGGCTTTGTTTTTATTATTAAAAATTGCCTTGGCTATATGAGTATTTTTTCCAGTTTTATATGAAACAAAGAACATTTTTTACAGTTCTTCAGAGTATGATATTGGCATTTTAATGGGGGTTGCATTGAATCTGTAGATTGCTTTGGGGAGTATAGACAGCTTCACAATGTTAATTCTTCCCAGCCAAGAACATGGTATCTTCTCGCATTTGTTAATGTTTTCTATTTCTTTTCTTAGGGTTTCATAATTCACTTTGCAGAGGTCCTTCACCTCTTTTGTTAGTTATATTCCTAACTATTTCATTTTCTTTGAAGCTACTGTGAAGGGAATTGTGTCTTCGATTGGCTTATTGACTTAGCTGTTATTGGTATATACAAAGGCTACTGATTTGTGGACATTGATTTTATATCCTGAGACATCACTGTATTTCTTAATCACTTCCAAGAGTCCTGTGGTTGAGTTTCTGGGGGTTTCTAAGTATAAGATCATATCATTGCTAAAGAGTTAGATTTTGATCTCCTCTGCCTCCATTTGGATGCCCTTTATTTCATTCTCTTGCCTAATTGCATTGGCTAAAACTTCCAGAAATATGTCGAATAGTAGTGGTGATAGAGGACATCCCTGTCTGTTTCTAGTTCTAAAGCTTTCAGTTTTATTCCATTCAGTATGATATTAGCTGTGGGTTTGATGTAGATGGCTTTAATCAGCTTAAAAAATGTGTCATCTATTCCTATTTTCTGAAGTGTTCTTGTTAGAAGAGGATGCTGAATTTTATAAAATGCTTTTTCTGCATCTATTGAGAGAATCATACGGCCTTTGTTTTTGCTTCTATCGATATGGTGAACTACATTTATGGATTCGTCTATGTGAAATCAGCCTTGCATCCCTGGATGAAAACTAGTTGATTGTGATGTATAATTTTTTTAATGTATAGCTATAATCTTGGATAAGATTATATTATTTTTGCATTAATATTTATTACTGAAATTGGTCTGTAGTTCTCTTTTTTATTTGGGTCCTATCCTTGTTTTGGAATCAGGGTGATGTTTGCTTCATAGAATGTGTTGGGGGAAAGTTCCTTCCTTTTCAATGTTTTGGAATAGGTCTATAATATAGGTACAAGCTCTTCTTTGAAAGTTTGATAGAATTCTGATGTGAAGTCATCTGATTCAGGGATTTTTTTCTTTTTGAAGATTTTTTATTGTTTTTTTTTTCAGTACTTGATATTGATCTGTTTAAGAGATCTATTTCTTGGCTCAGCACTCATAGCTCAATGGTTATGGCAA